AACTGACGTTCTGTTGCTTCATTCGAATCTTTACTATTACCTAACTTTTGAAACTTGGAACGGTCTTCCAGTATGGCGTTCATCTTATCAATATAGTCGCGTTTGTTTAAAATTACTGTACCTGATCCCTTGTCTGGTTTTGTGATAATAATGCTGTCATCCGACATTAGTTTTCTGAGGCATTCTCTATGCTTTTTAGTTAATATACTTTTCTTGTCAATCTTGGCATTATTGTATTGGTAACAACAATCAACCAAGGTACTTTTAAATCTGTCTAACTCATGTTGGGAGGACGGCGTTAGGTCAAGTGTCTGAATGAAGAGGTTTTCAAACTGTACTTCTGTATGTAATTGGTCAATATTAACTCTTTTATCACAAAATTTAGGGCCTAGTGACAACACTTCCATAGCAGTCTTATCTAAAGTCACACTGGAAAAGTTGAAGACGTACCTTTCAGGGTCCTTGGGAAAGTGAGATTCTGGTATTTCCGTATCTAATCCTTTTGTAAGCTGGATTCTTTTTTTAGTTTCTCTAGTTTTAGAAACATCGTGGACGTATTTTAAGAATAATTCCTTTAAATGTGTGGGGAGTTCATCGACAGCATACTGTCTCTGTGGAATATTTCTTTCTAATGTGCTAATATATCCTTGGAGAGATTCAATCTGATTAAGAGCGAATCGCTTGAGAGATTTCGTGTTTGGGCGCACTTTACATCGACGAAGAGATTTAGAGAATGATTTAGGATATTGGTTATTCTCAATACAGTTTCGGATAAAATCCACATTAGTTTTCGCTTCAGCGAGCTTTGCACTATACTTCAGATACTCGTTGAGTGCCTTCAGTGCAACGGGATGCTCACAAGATTTCAGTAAATGAAAAATCCCCATATTGAAATCAAAACAAGATTTTGAGCGAACAATTGTTTTCGATAACTTCTTCTTCAGGCTCTACAGTTATAAATCCATGAATAATAGAGTACATATAGCCAGTAAAGGCAAATGAAAATAATATCAGAAACTGTATTGGGGTGCATGTGTAAGTTGAGGTGATAGTCCATTAGTTAGCATAGTCAATTAAATGTGTATAGGGTGTTTAGTCAGAAAAATGTGATGAAGTGTGAATGAACAATTAGGTGATATAGTGTAGTTTTATAGTTAACAGAATACAAGTGTCCTTGGGGTGAGAAAATGCGATAACCACAAAATACATGTAAAGACACGTTAAAAAATGAGGCACTGGATATGAGGGCTGACCGATAATGTCTAATGATAAAATAAAGGGGCTAAATTGTAAATTGTAATAAAATGCTACAGAATTGGTAGGTTTAGTATAAAATCATAAAGGTTGACAAAGTAAGGGTAACAATGAGGTGAAATAAACTGGGTGGAGAAATGGATAATAAAGACATGATATCACAAAATAATAATAATGATAATAATAGTACGAAAAGATTATGATCCTGGTGACCTTATAGTGGGCCAGGGTAGACAAAGAGAGTGAATAAGTTTTTTCTGTACACATAGATCTGGTCTTTCTCTATTAATCTCTAAAGCCTCAGCTATGGCTAGGAGGCGTAATCGTGTGCCTTTGGGGAGATTGTTCGGTACCCGATACGCAACTGTAAATGACTCATCTACTTTGATGCTGTGTTCGCTATCCACTAGATGAGACAGAATTGCACTATTAATTGATTTGGTTGTTCTTTTCCCAAGCCAAACAGGAATATGTTCACGAGTGCGTAGAGATAAATTCCTCTGGGTACGACCTATATAACTAGCTCCACAGGAGCAGCTAAATTTATATACACACATTGATGTCGCCATTTTGGGCAATCTATCTTTAATGCACGGTGTCAATATCGGTTTGGTTGAGAAACTGACATACAGTTTTGCGGCACTAAAAGTTCTTTCAATTGATCTTGTTAATCTACGGTTTAATATATCACTGGCTATATCACCTTTGAATTGTACATTTAAGTAAAGCTTTTTCTTACTTACTGTGTCTCGCTTGGTATTATGTGTAGTTTCGTAGATATACTTCTTTACAAAGTTGGTAGGGTAGTCATTTTGTAGCAAGGCGTTTGTAAGATTTTTTATTTCATCTTCAATACAATCCTCGGTACATATGCGTCTAATTCTATGACTAAGACAGCGAATTAGGTTGCGCTTATATTGTATAGGTATGAAGCTATGGAAGTGGGTGTATTGTCCGTTCCACGTCGCTTTCCTATAGATGTTTCTTTTCAAGGTACCGTCTGATCTTTTTGTGAGAAGAACATCGAGAAATGGAATACTACCTTGTAGTTCCTCTTCACAAGTGAATTTAATAGCTGGGTGTACCTTATTGAAGACTTGCAGCAGATGTTGTTTATCCAAATTATTGTTACAAATGATAAAGGTGTCGTCAACATATCGACAATAATAATCGAGTTGGTTTAGTATCTCTTTTAAAGGACCATTTTCCAATTTGGATAGAAATATGTCGGCTAATAAGGAACCAAGGGGAGAGCCCATAGCAACCCCATCTATTTGGCGGTAGTACTCTTTATTAAATACAAATTGGACATTCATAGTGCATTTTAGTAATAACTCTTTCAATTTTCTTGGTGTGATTCCAATTTCTATATTCTTTTCTACGAGTTGTTCACATATGTAGTCGACAGTTTCTACAAGGGGGACGTTGGTAAATAGTGATGTTACGTCCAGCGATAACATGGTTTTTTCTGTTATTTTCATATCTTTAATATTTTCAACAAAGTTAAAGACATCTTTTACACTATATTTGACCAACTGGCGGTGTAACGGTTCTAACAGTTTTACCAACCATTTGGCAGTTAAATGGAAGGGTGAGTTCGACATGTCTAGGATTGGTCGTAGGGGGATTCCCTGCTTATGTATCTTGGGTAAGCCATAAAGTCTAGGTGTATGAGTTCCGGTGGGCTTAATAGCGTCAAAGATGGAACTATCAATTAGATTTTCATTTTTTAGAGACTTCAAAGTTTTAACAAACTGACGTTCTGTTGCTTCATTCGAATCTTTACTATTACCTAACTTTTGAAACTTGGAACGGTCTTCCAGTATGGCGTTCATCTTATCAATATAGTCGCGTTTGTTTAAAATTACTGTACCTGATCCCTTGTCTGGTTTTGTGATAATAATGCTGTCATCCGACATTAGTTTTCTGAGGCATTCTCTATGCTTTTTAGTTAATATACTTTTCTTGTCAATCTTGGCATTATTGTATTGGTAACAACAATCAACCAAGGTACTTTTAAATCTGTCTAACTCATGTTGGGAGGACGGCGTTAGGTCAAGTGTCTGAATGAAGAGGTTTTCAAACTGTACTTCTGTATGTAATTGGTCAATATTAACTCTTTTATCACAAAATTTAGGGCCTAGTGACAACACTTCCATAGCAGTCTTATCTAAAGTCACACTGGAAAAGTTGAAGACGTACCTTTCAGGGTCCTTGGGAAAGTGAGATTCTGGTATTTCCGTATCTAATCCTTTTGTAAGCTGGATTCTTTTTTTAGTTTCTCTAGTTTTAGAAACATCGTGGACGTATTTTAAGAATAATTCCTTTAAATGTATGGGGAGTTCATCGACAGCATACTGTCTCTGTGGAATATTTATTTCTAATGTGCTAATATATCCTTGGAGAGATTCAATCTGATTAAGAGCGAATCGCTTGAGAGATTTCGTGTTTGGGCGCACTTTACATCGACGAAGAGATTTAGAGAATGATTTAGGATATTGGTTATTCTCAATACAGTTTCGGATAAAATCCACATTAGTTTTCGCTTCAGCGAGCTTTGCACTATACTTCAGATACTCGTTGAGTGCCTTCAGTGCAACGGGATGCTCACAAGATTTCAGTAAATGAAAAATCCCCATATTGAAATCAAAACAAGATTTTGAGCGAACAATTGTTTTCGATAACTTCTTCTTCAGGCTCTACAGTTATAAATCCATGAATAACAGAGTACATATAGCCAGTAAAGGCAAATGAAAATAATATCAGAAACTGTATTGGGGTGCATGTGTAAGTTGAGGTGATAGTCCATTAGTTAGCATAGTCAATTAAATGTGTATAGGGTGTTTAGTCAGAAAAATGTGATGAAGTGTGAATGAACAATTAGGTGATATAGTGTAGTTTTATAGTTAACAGAATACAAGTGTCCTTGGGGTGAGAAAATGCGATAACCACAAAATACATGTAAAGACACGTTAAAAAATGAGGCACAGGATATGAGGGCTGACCGATAATGTCTAATGATAAAATAAAGGGGCTAAATTGTAAATTGTAATAGATTACGCCTCCTAGCCATAGCTGAGGCTTTAGAGATTAATAGAGAAAGACCAGATCTATGTGTACAGAAAAAACTTATTCACTCTCTTTGTCTACCCTGGCCCACTATAAGGTCACCAGGATCATAATCTTTTCGTACTATTATTATCATTATTATTATTTTGTGATATCATGTCTTTATTATCCATTTCTCCACCCAGTTTATTTCACCTCATTGTTACCCTTACTTTGTCAACCTTTATGATTTTATACTAAACCTACCAATTCTGTAGCATTCTATTACAATTTACAATTTAGCCCCTTTATTTTATCATTAGACATTATCGGTCAGCCCTCATATCCTGTGCCTCATTTTTTAACGTGTCTTTACATGTATTTTGTGGTTATCGCATTTTCTCACCCCAAGGACACTTGTATTCTGTTAACTATAAAACTACACTATATCACCTAATTGTTCATTCACACTTCATCACATTTTTCTGACTAAACACCCTATACACATTTAATTGACTATGCTAACTAATGGACTATCACCTCAACTTACACATGCACCCCAATACAGTTTCTGATATTATTTTCATTTGCCTTTACTGGCTATATGTACTCTATTATTCATGGATTTATAACTGTAGAGCCTGAAGAAGAAGTTATCGAAAACAATTGTTCGCTCAAAATCTTGTTTTGATTTCAATATGGGGATTTTTCATTTACTGAAATCTTGTGAGCATCCCGTTGCACTGAAGGCACTCAACGAGTATCTGAAGTATAGTGCAAAGCTCGCTGAAGCGAAAACTAATGTGGATTTTATCCGAAACTGTATTGAGAATAACCAATATCCTAAATCATTCTCTAAATCTCTTCGCCGATGTAAAGTGCGCCCAAACACGAAATCTCTCAAGCGATTCGCTCTTAATCAGATTGAATCTCTCCAAGGATATATTAGCACATTAGAAATAAATATTCCACAGAGACAGTATGCTGTCGATGAACTCCCCATACATTTAAAGGAATTATTCTTAAAATACGTCCACGATGTTTCTAAAACTAGAGAAACTAAAAAAAGAATCCAGCTTACAAAAGGATTAGATACGGAAATACCAGAATCTCACTTTCCCAAGGACCCTGAAAGGTACGTCTTCAACTTTTCCAGTGTGACTTTAGATAAGACTGCTATGGAAGTGTTGTCACTAGGCCCTAAATTTTGTGATAAAAGAGTTAATATTGACCAATTACATACAGAAGTACAGTTTGAAAACCTCTTCATTCAGACACTTGACCTAACGCCGTCCTCCCAACATGAGTTAGACAGATTTAAAAGTACCTTGGTTGATTGTTGTTACCAATACAATAATGCCAAGATTGACAAGAAAAGTATATTAACTAAAAAGCATAGAGAATGCCTCAGAAAACTAATGTCGGATGACAGCATTATTATCACAAAACCAGACAAGGGATCAGGTACAGTAATTTTAAACAAACGCGACTATATTGATAAGATGAACGCCATACTGGAAGACCGTTCCAAGTTTCAAAAGTTAGGTAATAGTAAAGATTCGAATGAAGCAACAGAACGTCAGTTTGTTAAAACTTTGAAGTCTCTAAAAAATGAAAATCTAATTGATAGTTCCATCTTTGACGCTATTAAGCCCACCGGAACTCATACACCTAGACTTTATGGCTTACCCAAGATACATAAGCAGGGAATCCCCCTACGACCAATCCTAGACATGTCGAACTCACCCTTCCATTTAACTGCCAAATGGTTGGTAAAACTGTTAGAACCGTTACACCGCCAGTTGGTCAAATATAGTGTAAAAGATGTCTTTAACTTTGTTGAAAATATTAAAGATATGAAAATAACAGAAAAAACCATGTTATCGCTGGACGTAACATCACTATTTACCAACGTCCCCCTTGTAGAAACTGTCGACTACATATGTGAACAACTCGTAGAAAAGAATATAGAAATTGGAATCACACCAAGAAAATTGAAAGAGTTATTACTAAAATGCACTATGAATGTCCAATTTGTATTTAATAAAGAGTACTACCGCCAAATAGATGGGGTTGCTATGGGCTCTCCCCTTGGTTCCTTATTAGCCGACATATTTCTATCCAAATTGGAAAATGGTCCTTTAAAAGAGATACTAAACCAACTCGATTATTATTGTCGATATGTTGACGACACCTTTATCATTTGTAACAATAATTTGGATAAACAACATCTGCTGCAAGTCTTCAATAAGGTACACCCAGCTATTAAATTCACTTGTGAAGAGGAACTACAAGGTAGTATTCCATTTCTCGATGTTCTTCTCACAAAAAGATCAGACGGTACCTTGAAAAGAAACATCTATAGGAAAGCGACGTGGAACGGACAATACACCCACTTCCATAGCTTCATACCTATACAATATAAGCGCAACCTAATTCGCTGTCTTAGTCATAGAATTAGACGCATATGTACCGAGGATTGTATTGAAGATGAAATAAAAAATCTTACAAACGCCTTGCTACAAAATGACTACCCTACCAACTTTGTAAAGAAGTATATCTACGAAACTACACATAATACCAAGCGAGACACAGTAAGTAAGAAAAAGCTTTACTTAAATGTACAATTCAAAGGTGATATAGCCAGTGATATATTAAACCGTAGATTAACAAGATCAATTGAAAGAACTTTTAGTGCCGCAAAACTGTATGTCAGTTTCTCAACCAAACCGATATTGACACCGTGCATTAAAGATAGATTGCCCAAAATGGCGACATCAATGTGTGTATATAAATTTAGCTGCTCCTGTGGAGCTAGTTATATAGGTCGTACCCAGAGGAATTTATCTCTACGCACTCGTGAACATATTCCTGTTTGGCTTGGGAAAAGAACAACCAAATCAATTAATAGTGCAATTCTGTCTCATCTAGTGGATAGCGAACACAGCATCAAAGTAGATGAGTCATTTACAGTTGCGTATCGGGTACCGAACAATCTCCCCAAAGGCACACGATTACGCCTCCTAGCCATAGCTGAGGCTTTAGAGATTAATAGAGAAAGACCAGATCTATGTGTACAGAAAAAACTTATTCACTCTCTTTGTCTACCCTGGCCCACTATAAGGTCACCAGGATCATAATCTTTTCGTACTATTATTATCATTATTATTATTTTGTGATATCATGTCTTTATTATCCATTTCTCCACCCAGTTTATTTCACCTCATTGTTACCCTTACTTTGTCAACCTTTATGATTTTATACTAAACCTACCAATTCTGTAGCATTTTATTACAATTTACAATTTAGCCCCTTTATTTTATCATTAGACATTATCGGTCAGCCCTCATATCCAGTGCCTCATTTTTTAACGTGTCTTTACATGTATTTTGTGGTTATCGCATTTTCTCACCCCAAGGACACTTGTATTCTGTTAACTATAAAACTACACTATATCACCTAATTGTTCATTCACACTTCATCACATTTTTCTGACTAAACACCCTATACACATTTAATTGACTATGCTAACTAATGGACTATCACCTCAACTTACACATGCACCCCAATACAGTTTCTGATATTATTTTCATTTGCCTTTACTGGCTATATGTACTCTATTATTCATGGATTTATAACTGTAGAGCCTGAAGAAGAAGTTATCGAAAACAATTGTTCGCTCAAAATCTTGTTTTGATTTCAATAATGAAGAGACTCAAGAACAAATACGTCAATCTATCACGCCCATGATCGAAATGAAAACGCAACTAAACATTCAAGTAGGAAGATGTGAGAAATTGGTGTAGAATAGAAAGAGCATGCATAGTCATGTCACCAGCAGTTGACAAAACAGGAATCACGGCAATTATGACAAAAGAAGACCAGACCAGACCAGACCAGATGATCTCTTTAAGGATAATAATGTTTCCTGACAACTCAGGGAATGAACACCCTTTTCAAACCAAATATCAGACAAACCCAAGAGCAAACCCAAGTGGCTGAGTCTTCAACAAACTTAGCCTCACAAACTGAAGCTCATGAGTTCGATCCTTGGTGAGGTCACGGACTGTATGGATTGATGAGGATTCCTTCCCCAACTAGGAGGAAACATCTGTCCTGTGCTTGCTAACTGGTCTTCTTCATTCATATCTCTTCGTCCAGCTGATGCCAGTTGGCGAAGAAAAATGTCTAGCAGATGAAATCAGAATAATCCACAATCCACACATAATATCCTACAATCTGAATATTAATCCTGTCTTGCCTTCCGTCTGTTGCTTACAAGGAGAATTTAGCAATATTGGAAGCAAAGTTGAATTATTTCTGACCTGGAAAATACGCCTTCTATGATTATTCTTACTCTAATTCTTATTATCAACATCATTAGTTGTAGTGGTGTAGTAGTAGTAGTAGTAGTAGTAGTAGCAGTAGTAGTGGTAGTAGTAGTAGTTTTAGCGGGATTACTCACTGTCCAATCTCGAGGCTTGTTCGACAGTGAATAACACCTTGTTAGACCATTCAAATATTTATTATATCAGGAATAAATGTGTCCAGGTTCTAGTCCACTGATCATCCAGTCTGATATGAGTAGCATCATGGCTCGATGGCTTGTCATATACTGTAACACCTCGAATTCAGTAAATTCATACACTTGAACAAAATTTGTCGACTGAGACAGAGGACCGGTATGTTACTAGACTATTCAAATACTAGTTGAGAATCGGTGTGTGTGTGTGTGTGTGCGAGGGCATATGTGTTCATTTATACTAACTAGTTCACTCATAATCCCACGATGTCTTTGGAATAAATTAGCAACATGTCCTTTAGAGACAATCAATCAATAAATTTGTCATGTGATGTCTGTGCACACTATAGAGAAGTCTACAGAATCAAATGGTGTATTCTCAGTCCTCGACCCTCTATTTTCGTCATGCGACAGTAATCTTGTACAGTAATCTTGTCTTACACTCATATGAATATCTCAGTCAGATGAGGTTTACTTCTTCCCCGAATTCATACGACGTCAATCAATCTGACTGACTTCCATCGTCCAGTAAATTCTAGTTCTCTTCTATCTTTCTCCACTTCTTCTTCTTTCCCTCCTCCTCGTCCTCCTTCTCGTCGTCGTCATCATCTTCATCATCACTAATCTGTTTGATTTTGTCAGTGAAGGACGGCTGTGTCAGAATTGAGTCACTGAAGAGTGGCAACGCACAAATCACATGAAAATGTCAATGTGTTTACGTGTAAAATTCATCAATTCATGAAAATGATAAATACAAAGGCATGACAGTTTTACACAGGATGCCTCTCTCTGACGTGTAACTAAAGTTCCCCACAGTATGACATTGGGTGTCGACATTCTATACATGCATTCATTTACATCTTGTAAACCTAGCCACAATGCTAGTCATCAACCCACACCCTACACCTCACCCCAACTAACTTTAACCCTAACACGAATCAGTCCTAATATCGCCCTGATTTGATTAGGGTGAGCCTCTACTTAGCCTTGAGAGCTGTTCCACTGCTCAGGATGCTTATCCTCAAGTTGACTGAAGTTTATATTTATCAAAAGTTCATCCGACATTCATTCAACACAAAGATCCATCCAATGCTTCCTTCTTTTTGTCTCGTTTCTACTCTGAGCAGTATCATGCCCTCACATATGAAAGTAAAGACCATACATGCCATATTAAGACAGCATCGATGACGACTAATACTAACTAACATCTAATCAGAGTTGTTTATCAGCTCATGTCACCAAATATCAAGTGTGTGTTGTCGTGTCGTGTCGTGTCGTGTAGTATAGTGTGAATGATATGTTGTTGTATGTTGTTTTCAAAACTGACTGAGATATCCTTAATCTATGTAGAATTATATTTATTGTTATTGTACTAACTGGATGCAACATTGTGCTGAGAATTCCATTCTGTATCACAAGTACTGATTTGCAATAAAGCTTATCTTATCTTATCAAAAAAAAACACTAGGACAGAAAAAAAGTACGAAGGTTTGGTTATTAAGGTGACACAAAGCATTCTGTGAATGCGATCCATGCAAAGAGAAAATTAAGGACGTTCAGCTGTCAAAAATGTTTTCTTGATTAAGGTGATCCTTTATTTTCATTTGGTATTTGTAAACACATAATAACTGTCAAGAGTGGATGATTTGAATTGTTGACGAATTTCTGTTGAGAGGCGAGCAGGCCAAATATATTCTATCGTTGAGTTTCTGTACTTCCTTGTACGACAGAGAGCATGTTATCTCTTAGGATGACTCCTAGACAGACTTCTAGCTGATGAGATGCAAGGAAGGGGAGAGTTGTGAATAGAAGGCGTGAGGGTGTAGACAGTCAGACAAAATGGATTTGGAGTATTTCCCACATGATTTCAGGTGTCTATCGACTACTGTAGTAACAAGCTGATTTCATTGCACACTAGTCAGTCGCCTTACTGACCCAACCTGTGATGCTCTTCGAAATATGACACAGTCCGTTTTAAGTAGCTCAGGGAATACCAATGGAGGGCAATTAGGATTCTAGAGTTAGCGAAGTAGAACAGGGAGAGGTTGAGTGATTTAAGATTGTCTTAACTCCGTGAGGTTGTAGGTTAGGTGGAACATTCTCCTAGAAACTGACAACTTCAGAGCCCAAAGAAGGAGAATAAGTTGTCGAAAGGAAGTGTTCTCTCAAACATAATGGTAAGATACTTCAGTGAGGGTTATAAATAACAATGTATTCCATCCTAATATATCTCCGATATATCCACCTAAATATTAGAAAACGCCAATGTATCATATGAATATTAATGCAGGTTGTCATGACAGGATGAAGTTGTTTAAAGTTATTGATACTGAATATCAAAGAGACAATGGAGATTTCTCGGTTTTCTCTCACAAATTATGTCCATACCTGACGTGCTAGCTGATATATCGTGCCAATAATTGCATGGAGCACAATCCAATTACTGAGTGCCTATTTGAGTAGACAAAGAGACCATGCAATATATTCCTCGTGAGGACATCAATTCTAATACCACTACTATAATTTGATCTGTGTGTGTGTATGGAATATATAACTTCAGATGAATATCTCTGCTGTATTTCCTACCTTCGAGCTTCTGCTTTAGCTGGCTCCGTTTCACTCCCGGAGAGGGTTTCCTTCATCACAGCCAATAACCCTCAATAGTCTCACAGAGGATGACTCCATCCGAGATTCCGGCCGACTGAAGCTTCACATTAGATCATAAAATATTGACGATCCATAATGCACAACAGTATGGTGTCACTTATAATTCTGAGTATTGTACACGTCTGATCAACAGGATTCGATCAGACACTCAAGAATAGAAAGCTTTACAATCCAGCCTTCGGATGGGGTTTGGAACGCATAATATAATCAATCCCACAGGGAGTCATTTGTCACTTAATTTACTTAGCCTCTCACCCTTCCAATTCGACAGCGATACAGTCAGTATTCAGTCAGTATTTTGAATATCAAAGCGTCATCCACACAATCTCCTAACCAATGAGAACCACACTTTAATTAGATTGTAGATCTACGTAGATTGATATCTACGAGAAAGGACAAGAAGTGATGCCTCAATTTCATGTTCACATACTATCGAACACCTAGTATCCAATTAATCTGAAGAAATCCTCCGTCCCATCTCTAAACCAGCTCTACTGAAAAATGATTTGTCAACAGAGACCGCGTATTCAGATTCCCATGGAATCAGTCAACGGGGATGTCGGACTGATTTCAATAAATATAGAGCTTCTGAGACACTCGGATGTGCAATTCGACAGTCGTAAATTCCAGTCAGTGTTACACTGTAGAACAACGTGTTTACAACACACACACAGACGCATTTTCAAGTCTTATTCGAACTGGACACATGCTCAAATCTGTCAGACAAATTGATTCATTTCCACCTTCTCTGTCTACCTATAGCATCTACAATATAGTCAGTCTGCTCATCTGCATCATTCATCCTGTGATGACTCGATGAATAGATGACTCGATGTGAATAGAACTACTTCGATGAGTTAATTACGGTCATTCGACATTTGCACCTGTAAACCAGTCAGTCAGTCAGTCAGTCTGTCGATCAGTGAATATCACAGGATTCTTCTCCTTTCCTCTTTCATACTGTTTTACTCATTAATTATTGATTATTGATTAATTGTCTTTCTGTTGTTCGCTTCTTCTTCTTCAGTCATTGTACAATCATAATTTGTGAGTAGACTACAGAGATCTTTCGAAACAAGAATATAAATATATTTGAAGTGTTAGCGTGATAGCACTTTCATGATATTAGAAGGAGGGAGAATAATGCACATTCAACACTTGATTTGTGGATCACATTATTTCTTCTGGTCATACAACCCGTTGAAATGATTTCGCCTACAGCTTCTTCACGAGGCTGAAGCTAAAGCTGAAGCTGAAGAACTGAACGTCAGAATTGCTAAGCCACTCGGCTATCTGAATTTCCTCTCTATTCGTCGAAATGCATCGAATTCACTTCGTTCCAGATCACAAGGGAATAATCCAGCCAATATTGTGTATATTGTGTGTACACGCATTTTGCAGGACTAACTAACCTATTATTATCATTATTAATATCATTACTATTATTATTATTATTAATATTAATATTGAAAATATTCTTAGGGAGAAATTTAATCCCTGGTCTCAGAAACGCCTTACACAGCACCTTTTAACTCTCTGAGTGCGTCAACTCAATTTTGTAGATTTGCTGCAGTGAGAAGCTGTGTAGAAGGAGATTTTATTTGTTTTGTTCGTTTTTATTTTTCAGAATCACTTTCAATTCTTCGACCTCTTATTTACTATCAATTATTTCCTGAGATAGCTGCTATCATCATCATCATCATAATCATAATGATCATTTATTTCACTGATTGATTGTCAACTTTCTCAGGTGGGGAGCATCACTCATACATTCTTGACTCATTCTTTCAAATGCACTTTGGTGAAATAATTAATCTGTTGACCAACGACCGAACCGACATTTAGACATTCAAATTTAAATTCAAATTCAAAGCTATGAAGATTAGCATGCAGTGGTGAGGGGGGGGGCGGGGGGCGAGGGGGCTGAGCGATAATCACTAATCACTAAACATAGGAAATAACAAAATTGAATCGACCAAACAGATTGCTTGGAAGTTATTGATTTCTTGTTTCGTTGTCTTTCTCCAATGGAGGCACGACTTCAGAATTTCAATGATTTGTACTCAGTCTGATTAAATTCACCACTTGATTGGGATACTTGTATTCAGTTTAGAGAATTGTGACGTGGTGAACGTATCGTTCAGGCCACACAGAAAGAATACACAGTTTGCCTTCAATAATTTTTTCAAAGCTTCACTCTCACGGATTACATTGTCACTGATTGAAAGCCACCATCATCACTGACATAAAAACAAAATGGAGTCGACTCGCTCAGCGTCTGTGATCAACAATAACAGTGAGTGTATTACTTGCTTTGCATTTATCGTGTTTTCTGTAATTGCTAAACACCTTTGTTTACTTAATAACTAATAATTTTACAATTCCCCTTGTAACATTGTACCATTATGAAGACAATATTTAGCGAAGAGACTCTTTAGATATGATAGAGAAGATTTGTAGCTCAGGTGGATAATTTTGATGTGGTTTTGTTCTCTGAGCTGGATAGTTAGTTTGCGAAGCTTTCATCACCTTACTGGGTGACATCTTCAGCGCATACTTCAAATTGAAGTGAGCTTTTAGGTTTCTCCACGAGTTTATTAATCATTCCTCCTGGTGACCTTGGACGTGATTGGTTGTTTATGTATGTTTTCACACCTTCTAGGTTACTTGTGTTGGAACTGATTGTTTCTGTGACTTGAACTTTGGCCAATCGTGTGTGAAGTTTCTTTCTTATTGGTTGATAAATTTTGTCTATCTCGATGTGTCTATTGATTGATGATTCACTGGAATGCCAAGCTTCTAAAAATTCTCTAGCATTCTTGTTATTTCCTTTGTCTAATATTTGAACGTTGTCCCAGTCGAATTGATGTCCGTGGTTGTCTGTGTGTAGTGAAATGAGGGAGTGTATATCATGTCTTTTGACGGCTAGCTTATGTTCGTGGATACGAAGACGAAGGGGACGTCCACTTTGGCCAATGTAGTGTTTTTCACAGTTGTTACAGTTTATTTTGTAGATGATGTTGGTTTTGTCTTCTTTTGCTGTTGAGTCTTTTGGTTGACATAGAATTGAGTGCAGCGACTTTGTTGGTTTGTGTACGACGTCAATTCCTAAAGGTTTGAAGAGTCTTTTAGTGATTTCTGAGATATCCTTTATATATGGTAAGGCGATTTTCTTTGTGTTTTCCTTGGTGGCTTTTGTTTTGGTAGGTTGGCTTGGAGGTATATGTCTCTTGATGAAATTCCGGGGATATCCATTCTTTTGGAAGACGTCCATGAGATACTTTTCTTCCATTTTTCTTAAGGTGGGAGTGCTGCAGTGAGTCCTTGCTCTCTTGAATAGTGTTTGTATGCAGTTCCTTTTGTGTGCTATTGGGTTGTTGCTGTTGTAATTCAGTATTTGGTCTGTGTGAGTTGATTTCCTATAAACTTGAGTTTCTAATTCTCCTGTAGTTGTTCGCCTGACTAAGACGTCCAAAAATGGTATTTTGTTTTCGGATTCCTCTTCTCTTGTGAATTTGATGTCGTTGAAGACGTTGTTTATTAAGTTGTGAGTTTTGTCTAATTCGTTTCTTTTGATTATTACAAATGTGTCGTCGACGTAACGTATCCAAATCTTGGGTTTGATCTTTGGTAGAATTATGTTTTCGAGTCTTTGCATCACTGCTTCTGCAATCAAACCTGATATTGGCGATCCCATGGGTGTTCCTTTGACTTGTTCATATATTTGGCCGTTGAATTGGAAGTATGTTGTTAGGCATAGATTTATGCATTCCATCCAGCTTGTGTGTTGCATTTTTGATTGTTGTGGAAGTTGTTCGTCGTTGCTAAGTAATTGCTCCATGGTTTCTTTTGCTAGTTTTTGTCCGATAGAGGTATATAATGCTGTCACGTCGAAGGATACCATTATTTCTTGTTCATCTATTTGGATGTCTCTGATTTTCTCTAGGAATTGGATAGCAGAGTTGATGGAGTGATCACAGGATTCCGTTAGGTGTTTTAGTTTTCTGTATAATTCCTTGGACAAATTATATGTTGGAGTTCCTGGGAGTGATACAATTGGTCGTAACGGGATATTTGCCTTGTGTATTTTGGGTCTGCCGTAGAATCGAGGTAGGACTGGTCCATTGGATTTCATTCGCCATTGGTCTTGTTTTGTGATCTGTCCAGTTTTGCTGAGCTTGTTTAAGGTCCTTTGGATGCGGTTGTCCAATGTTTGTATGGGATTTGTTGGGAGTTGTTGATATACATCTTCATCTTTGAGTAGTTCTTCAGCTTTCTTGGTGTATTCTTCTCTGTCCATGACTACTGTTGTTCTTCCTTTGTCGGCTGGTAAAATGACGATGTCCTTCCTATTTTTCAGCTTTTTGAGGGCCTTTAATTCTTGAGAGTTGAGTTGTGTGTGTTGTCTTTTCTGTTTGACCATTGGTACAATTGTTTGGCGTATCTCTTCCTGTGTTTCCTCGTTCAAGTTTGATGATTTGAGTAATGATTCAAGGGCAGCGAAGAAATCAGTTTTTGAAGCATCTACAACACCGGAACCTAGAAGGTGTGAAAACATACATAAACAACCAATCACGTCCAAGGTCACCAGGAGGAATGATTAATAAACTCGTGGAGAAACCTAAAAGCTCACTTCAATTTGAAGTATGCGCTGAAGATGTCACCCAGTAAGGTGATGAAAGCTTCGCAAACTAACTATCCAGCTCAGAGAACAAAACCACATCAAAAAAGAAGAGACTCTTTTCAAGGAATGTTATTATCGAGCTGTAGAACCGTATTTATATTTATATATATATATATGTATGTGTAGTTCTTTTATGAGAATTTAGTCCAGTTAGCGAATTGAGGCGAAGGCGAAGGCGTGAATACACGAAATAAAGAGAGTAGAATAAAATATGTCAGTCAAAGGTTTGTAAATATTAAAATAGAACAATGTCGAGTGGAGACACAAATAACGTCATTTAAAGAACTTTCAAGTGTTGGATTGGTTGGTTGGATTCGATCGGTTGGAGGAGCATTGGAAAAGCTGCAGTGACTACTGGACGGCTGTTTCCGTTGTCCTAGTTTCCGACTGACACCTCAGCAGTACGCACCACTCACCACTATGCTTCAAACCCAGCGTTACATTTCATGGTGTGTGATTTGACTAGATACAATTGAATACTGGTATGCACATTTTGAATTTGATTAACAAATGGGAAAATTGGAAACAATTCACTGTGAGGATACTACTACTACTACTTCTATTAATAATAATAATAATAATAGTAATATTATTCGTAGTAATGAGGGAAAGTAAATGAAAAGAGTAAGTGAATGAACAAAGTAAATAAACAAATGTCTATTCGTCTATGGCCAAGGCAGAAGTAGGCATTGCACATACTTCTTTTCTACACAAAATTCTGGTTGGCTTTAATTCATGACTGGCCATGGCCCACGCTGTCTTTAGAAGCTTGAGACGAAGGAAATGCAGCAAGTTGTCATGAATTCGATACATGATGATGACGATGATGATGATGTTCAAACCATGGTCGAAGCTGGAAGAGTGACAGGAGTTGAGCAAGTGTTGTTCTAGAATAGAGCTCCGTACACCCTTCCTTTCTGTCTTGTAAAACCACTCAAGAGTATGTACTCGTTTCCGTGTGGAAGGCGTTCGCTGGCTATGACCAATGTCCCTTGCTCCATTAAAGGATCAGGTGAACTAACAGATGCATATGGAGGCGGGAAGACGACGACGCTTATCTTTTACACAGATGGAGAACAACTTGCAGCTGGTGAACGTCATTTATAGTTTTTCTGCAAAGAACGTCTTACCGACTGATTTTGACAAACGGTTTTTCAGCATATCTGAAGCATACCTTGATCATCTTTGGATTCCGGATTCATGAATAAGGCTTTCTTTGGAAGTGAGTCGGTGACCAGTTTGGACTACTTGTCTTTCATGTTCTTGTCAATAAATCGGTTCGGATGACCGTCTGTCGTGAGCGTGGCTTTAAGAAAGGCTAGTTGTAAGTCAACGCAATCAGAACTACAAGTGTTTGTTATTCTGAAACAGAGTGAATGAATTAGCCTCCTTATCCTAGAGATAGACACGCAACTATAAAATCTAGTTACTTGTCCATTCCATGTACGTTTCCAGTGGATGGATGTTTTGAGAGATCAGTCAATGCATCTACAAAGGCACACTATGATTATAATCGCAGATATTTTGATTGCATTTCATACTACTACTACTATACTATATTATTATTATGATCGTTATTATTATTATTACTATTCATGTGTTCACGCCTTCGATTCCATTCCCTTCCCTCAACGGATATAGTTAATAACTGTCCTTTTTCTAGAGACATCCCGTATTGACTTATTTGATGGTGTGCCTGTATACGTTTATTCCTTGAGCCTGTTCACAATACTGAATAGACAGTGGACGAAAACATTTAGAGTTGACACAGTTCCCGGTTATGCACATATACTCATTGTTCGGTTGAACTGTGGCCCCCTCAGTGAGTGTCCAATCCATTTCCACTTTCGCCTGCATATTTTCTGTTGTTGGGCGATTGGTTATTGTCTTCTTTCTTCCCATAGTTTCTTGTTGGCGATTCATTCCGACCCGGACATCTGATATTCGGTATAGAGCGATGATAGCTGCTGATGTATGTCTGCAACAGGCTGTTGGAAATATTCTTTGTGATCCACCCGCCAAGTTTCTCATCCGTATACAAGAACTGACTGACTTGACGTTTGTATTGAAAATCCTACCGAATTTTGTTGTTGATGATGGCTGAGTGACGAAGATTTCGAGATTGGTTTCAGGTTGATTGATGCAGGTGTTTCTCGGCCCCTCCCCGATTCTCACTCAATTTGACATCCTCGTCCGTTCCGACTTCCTGTAGTTGAGACAATGCTCCCTAGATCAGTGAATGAAACAATACCTTTCAAATTCCTCCCGTTGATGGTGATTGGCGCTGGATGTTGCTGTTACTGTTGTTATTGGTTGGTTATTTTCATAACCCCTGTCTTGTCTATGTTCACCTGGAGTCCTGTCTTCACCGGCTGCTTCTTCGACCAGTTTGTCGGTCGGTTTTCGCTTGTAAGTCTTCGATTTTGTGTGTGTCACATTAAACATAAATCATCCATGCGCGAAATCCAGGTCTTCTGGGTTCTTCACGTCGGTCCAGGATATCCCTGCCTTCTCGTTTCCCACTGTCTGACGCATAATCCAGTCAGTCCACCACAAGTAGGAATATCACTGGTGAAAGATAACAAGCACCTTTGTCCGACACCTGTGTTCACTCCAAACTCCTCGCTGAGTTTTCCTTTTGTGGATGACTTGACATGTGCCGTTGTCGTACAGCTAGCTGTTGAATAAGGTTGATGAATATTTGGGCGCTGCACGCCGTAGTACTCGAGTAGTTTCCAAATTACTTCGCGGTCAACGCTGTCTGTTGAAGGCCTTCTCAAAGTTTATGAATTTGAGGTAGAGGTTTGATTGTCATTCCATGTTTTGTTCTGTGATGATGATGCGTAGAGTTGCAATTTGGTCAGGACATGATTTGCCCTTCCTGAATGCAGCCAGCTTGTTCTGGTCGGAGTTCTGTCTCCAGTGCGTCCTTTATTCTCTCCAGGATGATGCGACTCAGAATTTTACTTGGCGTCGACAGGAGCATGATTCCTCGCCAGTTCCTGCAGAGTGAGGCGTAAGTCGCGCTTCTTTGGTGGTTTCACGAGACATTCTTTCCTCCAATCAGTAGGCACACTTCCCTCCTTCCAGACCTTTTGCGATAATGGAGACGGCATATTTGCTGTTGTCTCTAGGTCCGCTTTCAGGGTTTCAGGGGGTATTCTATCTGGTCCAGCTGCTTTTCCAGCTTTCAGAAGCTTGATTGCACTCAAGACTTCAGATCTCGTTGGAGGATTGGTGTCAACTTGCAGTTGTGTACGCGCTGTTGTTGGTATTTCTGGATGGGTTGGAGGTGGTGGTCGGTTCAAGAGTCCTTTGAAGTGACCCACCCATTGTTTAATCTGTCTTTCTTCCTTTGTAATTGGGTTCCCTTGGCTGTCTTTAATAGGTTTCACTTGTGTTGATCTCTTCCCGGATAGAGACTTGGTTATCTGATATAGTGTCCTCAGGTCCTTTTGCCTGCTGCCTTCTCAGCTTCAGTGGCCAGATTGTCGTAGAATTGTCTTTTGTTCTTCCTAGAACTCTTCTTCACTTCTTTGTCCAGTGCTGTGAAAGTTGAACTCAGCGTCTCCTTCTCTTGTCCGTCCTTGCGTTGAATCATTTTTTCTTTCAACATTCTCCTCTCCTCCACTAGTTTCCAAGTGTCCATTGAGAGCCATTCCTCGTGTTGTCTCTTCTTTCTTCCTAAAACCGTTGAACGCGTTTCGTTGAAAATCACCTTCAGAGAATTCCAATGGTCTTCCACGCATGATTCTTCCGTGGTGTCACGTAGTGTTTCCTGCTTTGCTCTGACAGTCGCAGTGGAAGTGTCCTTTGTGGTTGTGTTTTTCAGTAATTGAGTGTTGAATTTGTATTGTGGCCTATCCCCAGCTATCCTCGAGGCTTTTAGCTTCACCTTGAAAGTCCCCTGTACTAGATAGTGATCTGAACCCACACCTGCTCCTCTCCTCGACCTTGTGTCCAGTAGGTTCCGTCTTCATTTCTTTGAGATTGAAATGAAGTTTATCTGGCTTTTGGTGTGTCCATCTGGTGAAGTCCATGTCGCTGACCTTGTGTATATCCTTAAGGTTGAACACACTGCCACCGATCACCACATCATTGAAGGCGAAGAAGTCTGAGAAGAGTTCACCATTGTCGTTCATTTCACCGAGGGCCTCACGACCCATGGTGAGTTCTCTTCCTGTGTTGTCTCCTCCCAGCTTCGCATTCATGTCGCTCATCAGGATTTTGATATCGCCATTTGGGACGTTGTCCATTAGTGTTTGTAGTTGTCTGAAGAACGTCTCCTTCTTCTCTTGTTCTGAGACGTTTGTAGACGCATAGCATTGAATGATTGTAACATTCCTTCCGTTTGAGTTGAACCTGGCTGTCATTATCCTGGCGGAGATCGGTTCCCAAAATAAGGCTATTGTTTTCATTTTTAGTAGTTTTCATATATTTGTACGTTGAAGTTTCTACTAGCACCACGGCCCAACATTCCCTCTTCATCCAGGCTTGAGACCGGCTAGAAAACTAGCGAGCTAGTCATCTGGGCCAGGTTAACCAGAGGACATAGATAACACAATATTCCCAGTTCTCTTCAACTCGTTATGTTGACCTACTATGATGAGTCACTATGATGGAATTGAATTTGTCACTCCATACGAGGGTTTCTTAATCCTAACCGGTTATTTTCTGATGACGAACGAATTAACAATGTACTTACTCTATTGTCTTTTCATGTAGATGAGAAATGTGATGAGGTATCACTTCGAACCGACTATAAATCAAACCTTTCTGAGATACTCCACGATCAAAATGTTGTTGATTTGGAGAGAAGACTGATCACACGTCCTGCGACCTCAACAATTCGAAGACCATGTCTCTTTGGTACTCAAACACTCAGTCATCAACAATCCGAGGAGGAGAATGGTGACCATGGAAGCGCCTCAGTTATGAGCGATTACAATTGCTGCAGTCTTGAAACTGCAGTCATGAAACCAGAGTATCATTCTGTTGGAGTGAAAGTAGGTGGAACAGCTTCACCTCGTAGTGAAGGTGGACCAACAATTCGATGCAATTCTGTCGACAAGTATGACTGGAATGCAATGATCGCAGAATCACATGTGATTTCTCCCCGGGTGTTCCAGACACTGGACTATCACAGAGCAACAGAAGTGGTTTCAACAGGTGATTTGCTTTTAATACTTGGTTGGTTGGTTGGCTGGTTGTTTGTTTAGTCGGTCTGTTGCTACTTATATATATATATATATATTTATCAATCATTATCTGTTGGCTTATAAAGATACGTGAATGACAGCTAGAAAGAGCGAGGGAGAGAAAGAGAGTGAATCACTTATTTTTTAGTACACGTGCTAACTAACTATTCCTTGTAGTATACCTTTCTTCACTATGCTTCTCAGTGTATAACTTGGAATGCATGTAAGTGGAAGGAAGGAAGGAATGAATGAGGGAAGTAGTCCTTTAATGCCATTGGTTATCATTATAATTTACAGTCTGGAGAAACACACTTAATACTGGGGCCGGCTTATCTGAGTGGTCGGCTTCTAATCGTTCACTTGTGTATCACAGATTCTGATTCACCATACTCAGTCTCAGTAGTCAGTGAGTATCGGTTTAACGCATGCATCGTTTTTCGTGACTACTTGAGTTCCGATTGGGGCGTCGAGCTACAAGCTTTGAGATTTGAAGTTTGGGGCGAGTTAGTGGTGTGATATTTTTGCTGAAATATGCTCCCGAATACATCACACATAATAGCTGAAAACGATTCCCATGACAGACGCTTAGTTGACCTGCATAGAGTGGAGAAGATTATTGAGAATTGAGCAAATGCTTTCCGTATCAGTTCATCAGTTGGCATCAGTGCTTACATTCCAGCAAATTTCATTACCAACAGTTAGTCTGAAGAGTGAGGAGTAAATAAATATCCTTCGAAAAGTGAATTTGATCGGTCAATGTCCTTGACATTGGTATTTTAGTCAGTAATGTCACTAGTTCTGCATTTTATACGTCAAACATTTGAAGGTAGAAAGGATTTCATCGAGAAGTGATTGATTGGTTTACATACTACTTGTCAGGAGAATGAATAGTGGAATGAATATAAATTTAATCATTCATTCACCTAACGCGACTATCGATCGTTAGATGATGTATTCAACTGTGAGTGGAACACCGTTGTGTCCACTTCCCCTCTAATAATCAGGAAGAGTAAGTGATGATGAGTGCGTAAATGAATGACCATCTGGCGAGTGAACTTCTCGTCAGTCAGCTACCCATGTGTTCATCTAATACGCAAAACTGAGGATTATTATGTTTCACATTGCAGGTGCTACAGACAAGAAAAGTGAAGATGTCTGTTACTGGACAGGAACCTTACCATTTAGAAAAAACATATCAGGAAATATTTCAAGAAAAGTGTTCGTTTACGGGTTGCCAGATGGAATAACGGAGTCTGGTATAATGGAGGTGTTTTGTAGATTTGGCCAAATTACCGTCATTTGGCCAAAACCAGATGGTGTTCATTTGAGTAGCGAGTATAACAATAGAGGTAAGTCATTTTACTGGTAAACAGTGAGAAGCCTCGTTTCCGCCTACTTTGTTTCACTTGACTGACATTGAAATTATCTCATATTTTAGGTTATTGTTATCTCGTATATGAAAATGAGGCATGTGTTCTGGAACTTCTGAGGAACTCTTTCAGAACTCGTAGGATAGATAGTGACTTCTACAGAATTCCATTATACAACTTTCCGTTCAGATATGCGAAGGTGAGGATATATTTTGTCACAGAAATCATGTATTTGCTCTTACCAGTGTTTTGTCTAGTAGTTATGCGTTAATCACAGTGTGACTGACTGACTCACTGACTGACTCAAACTTGAAAGGCAACACTATCCCGCTGAGATAAGACTGTTTGAGGCTTTTGTGGAACTGTCGATACACACTGTCGATGAATCAATCGACTTCCTTGACTTCCTCAGTCCAGTAGGTTATTTGTGATATGCAAATAAATATGCATGTTGCCAACCCATAGGGTTACAAGTGGAAACACTCAGAGGATAAAGATATTTACTTCTTTCATTTTTGTCTGTCCCTGTGTCTGCTGTCTATCTGGTGTGTATCTATCTATCTCTCTGTCTGTGTGACCGTCTGTCTGTCTGCCTATCCATTTATCTGTCTATCTATCTCTCTGTGTTTGGAGACACAGTTGGCATTGTCTACTTTGCACCAATTGGCATTAGTTGACACTCTGTCGAAACATGTCCTCAGACGAATTGAAGAAATGAAATTAGTGAGAGTGCATGCACTTGCCCATTTCAAGAATTTTCAATGTGTGTTTGACTTCAGAGAATTGGCTTCCTTCCACTTGATGTTGTTGAATTATCTGTGAAATAAATTTGGTCAATGCGTTCTTTGTAGGTTCTGGATGTGTACAAAATCAGGCCGGATGGATGAATCAGTATAGCTATATGTATACAATGCACTATAATACCATGTATACAATTGATAAGTGGGATATTTGAGACAAGAAGAAAGAGGAGAATAAGAGGAAGAAGCGCAAAGAATGAATAACTGTCGTGTTAAATTTAACAGATGGCTTCACCACCTGTTATGTTAGACAAGCATTCATAGTATGCGTCAATAACTTTGATGCCAATAAAACAGAATTCGTGACTCACACGATGTGACCAGTTTGGAAGAAATGCTCGGAGGAATTTCACAGTGGAATTAATACTGGCCTTAGAATAAATAACACCGAAGTGGCATGGTAGGAATAGACGAATAGAGTAGGAGTGCGTGTCAAATGAGTCTACAAGTCAGTGGTGTCGAATGAAGGGAGGGAGATGAAGGAGAGTAGGACAGATAATCGGCGGTTTGTTAAAGTGAAAGTTCATGCATGTATCAGTCTGATCATTTGTTAACATTGTCCAGCTGAAAATCTCTTCCCCTTCTCATCACAACCACTCTCAGTTTATCTTTAAGCTGAGCCCTTCACACTGGTTGTCACCGTCGTCTGAAGGATAAACTCGCTCACTTGACGAGTGAGTGAGTGAGTCAGTGAGTGTTTGTGTGTGTGTGTGTGAGGGTGATATCTTTCTGATGGAATTTAAAAATATGTAATATTTTATTGGTAATCAGTGTTCTGCATCATTCTGAATTCCGTCTAATTCTAGGTTGTACCTTGGAGCATAGAAGACACCAACTACTGCGGGCCAACAGGTAGTTCTGCCAATATGCAGTATGCCATATATGTTGGACAGCTTCACGGTTTGATTACAGCGAAAGGGCTTGCCAACATCATGGATGACCTGTTCGGAAATGTTGTTTCCGCTACCCTCCACACTGATCAATATAAATATCCTACTGGTGAGTTTGTCCAGTTCAGTAGAATGAAGTTTTACCAGTATATGCCTTGGACGAACAGAAGTAGTAAACAAGTGCACACATCGCTGACTGAGTCGACACGATACACCATCTCACACAACATGTGACAATTTTTTTCTTCAAGTACCATTTCTTTCATCGAAATCGAGTGGTACGGAAAATGTGGTGATAAAAATGAATGTGAATGCTGAGCACAGCATAGAGCAGCAAAGAAGTGTCAGTGAAGGCATAGCTCATACACAGCTCAGATTAGCTCCTGGATATTGAACCAACCAACCAACACTGGCTTCTAATCGACTTCCATCAAGTTCGACCTCAGCAGCCATGTAGTATCATTAGACTTCAGACAAAGTTTGGATAACAGTCCTGTCACACATAACACATATTTGTCGAGTTTTCTGTCTTGTGTTTTCTGTTGACTACCAGTGCATGAAAACACTTGGTGTACAACAGAATTTTCAAGAATTCACATGAAATTTCTGCGAATCAATAAATGAATCCAATGACATTCATGCACTTCTCTGACAGCTTCATTGACCATTAGTCGAAATGACGTTTCTTTGTAATATACTATAACATAATAAACGCTTTTCTGCATGCATTTGCCAAACTCGGAGATGGATGCACGTGCAACATTAATCATTTTGTGTATTTCTTGATATTTCAGGTTCTGCGAGAGTAATTTTCTCCAGTAGTGAGAGTTATTTGAAAGCTATCATCACACAATCGATAACCATTCACACCTCAAAATTCACCAAAACTATTCAAGTTCATCCGTATCTGGGGAATACTCTTTGTAATGTATGTTTAAAGTCTCCTGGAATATATTTTTGCAGAGCACTTCAATGTTTCAAATATTTCTGTCTTAGTTGTTGGAATGGATTTCATCAAAATGTAACTGAAAATTTCAGCGAACACAAACCGTTGAAGCGTTAACTGGGGGTAGATTCCTGTGGTAACCAGTCAACGAAACCAGCGGCCAAACAATGAACAAGTCGTGAAGACATTGAGAAACTTCGTTTACTTTTTTAATTTTGTTGCAAGAAGCAACAAACTGTACTGCTTACTTCTTACGCCTTGTGTTCAATCCGCTTTCGTTAATCTACCCTCACTTTGCTGGTTCACTCTTTTGTATATATTTAAGGGAATGTTTTGACCAATGTGGAAAATACATTTTCAATTGATCCTCTTCTTTCCTCTTTTTATTCGACTGTTCCTTCACGTCAATTATATCACACATAGAATTGATTATTGTCTTACATCGGGAGGTGTTCAGCACATCTCATATTGACATTTCAATAAGATGAAGAGTTTTTGGTGGGATACCGGCAGTTATTCTCTACTATTTGTCTCTCTGTCGATATCGCACTTGCTCTCCCTTCTTTCCTGTCAGTAAGGAGCTGCACACAAATTAAGCATCTAAGGACTCGTCAATGTAAGACAACAAACACGTCTGTGGGTGTTAGGCGACGAGTTGACTTTGTGAATCTATATACATGTATCAAGGTGAATAGAAACTGTTGCTGGGTAAGCTTTCACACGATTGTTTCATACATTTTCTGTCTTCGAAATATCCCTTCTCGTACTCATCAACTATGATGTGCTGAACTGTACGCTTTCTTGCACACAGTTAGTCGTTGTGCACAAAAGTGCATCAGAACAACCTTAGCTCGCTTGAATCATTCACCACACATGATGGAGGTTTCAGTCACGTTCAACAGGATATCGTCGGTCTCTAACCATCTTCCAATGACCACTCATGTGTATTCGTCACATGTGTGGACTACTTTACGCGTTGGCCGAAGGCTATCCGTGTGCTGTATACGATAGCCGAGAGAGTGTACCGAGTTTTCATGGAAAGGTAGATTGTTCAGTTTGAATGCTATTTCGAGGCGACAGTCGATCGAGTACAGCAATTTCAGTCTGGAACTATAGGTAAGCATTTAGAACTAGTGGAATAGACACACATTTGAACCAGGTGATAAAACCCACCTACTATTCATCCAATTGAACACTTTCATCGTCAATGTAAAGTCTCTCACGAGGCCTCGGACAATGTCGGATAATCTCTGATCCGTATGTTAAGTAGCACTGACTGACTTCACATTGGAGTTGAAAATCCGGATCTTATTATATTCATGCTGAGTATTTCTGGGGATCTCCACACAGACTTGAGAGTAATGATAGCTTGTCTTGCTTTCCCGATGATCCTTGCTTTGATATCCTCGTCATTTATGTCCGCCAGTAGTTGAAACGATGCTTCTCAGTTGGGTAGGTAGGTAAAGGAGGTTGTTTCTCTCAGGTTCCTCCCATTTATGCTGGCTGATTGTTGTCTGTTGATGTTGCTGTTGCTGTCGGGCGGGAATCTTCATCACCACATCTGTTTTCTCTCTGTTCACCTGAAGTCACATCTTCCCTGGATGCTTCTTCTGCCAATTTGTTGCTTTCCAATTGCGAATCTTCCAGTTTTTGGGAAATCAGACATTCATCATTGGCGAAGTCCAGATCCTCCACGTTGTTTTTTGTGTTGGTCCATTTTATTCCGGGTTCCTCGATATCCGCTGTCTGTCGCATTATCCATTTTCATTCTGTGCTGATTACTGCTACCATTACACTGGAAGATACTGACTACCAGTGCATAAGAACTTTCGACGCTGCTAGATCGTGGTTGTCCTTTGCACAGATTATTGGTTCTCCAGTTACCGATTTGGAGGATACACAGCCATTCCATCCACTCCAAAAAATACCTAGTATCACTGCACCATGTCTTCTGATATCTACTCCAGTCATGCAACATCCTCAGCTTCGAACATCATGTGGATATTCCACGTCTTCGTGCTTATTTTCGCTTCCATCGAAATAGCATATTTTTAGCTGGCTAGTGAAATGTTCAAGTAGTCAGGAGTAGAATGGTGATAAGACGGATATTGCTTCAATACAAAGAAGGAACCTCAGAAACCTTAGGCAGAACTGTCAACAGTGCAGGCAGGAATAACACTGGCTGGCATTTAAACCCGCAAACTCAATTAGAAACAAGCTTTGTCGGTTAAAAGATCCTGTGGAGACTTTAAAACAAAACAATTCAGTTTATCTAATACCCTGCCTGCTGGAATGATTGACAGGTCAAATGCACAGGTCAGAGTAGCAGAACAGGTGCAGTAGGACTAGCAGAGCATAAAAGTCTAGCAATATCTAGATCAGTTGACTCGAATAAGATAATAAATCAAGAGAATGGTTCAGCTATAGCACCCACTACATGCAGTTACACACAACCATACAATATAGGATGATGGGATAAGGTGACCGTTTTAAAATCTAATGTAACTGTATGGAGGCAGCAGGAGAGAGAGGACAAAGAAAAGTATGAAGAAGAGGAATTCGAGAACCAAATCCCATTTTTGGACGTCTTAATCAAGCGAACAACCACAGGGGAATTAGAAACTCAAGTTTTTAGAAAATCAACTCACACAGACCAAATCCTGAATTACAACAGCAACAATCCAATAACACACAAAAGGAATTGCATACAAACACTATTCAAGAGAACAAGGACTCATTGCAGCACTCCCGCCTTAAGGAAAATTGAAGAAAAGTATCTCATGGACGTATTCCAAAAGAATGGATATCCACGGAATATCATCAAAAGACATATACCCCCAAGTCAACCAATCAAACCAAAAGCCCCAGAGGAAAACACGAAGAAAATCACCTTACCATATACACTGGATATCTCAGAAATCACTACAAGACTCTTCAAACCTTTAGGAATTGACGTCCTACACAAACCAACAAAGTCACTTCACTCAGTTCTATGTAAACCAAAAGACAGACTCAACAGCGAAAGAAGATAAAACCAACATCATCTACAAAATAAATTGTAACAACTGTCAAGAACACTACATTGGCCAAAGTGGACGTCCCCTTTGTCTTCGTATCCACGAACATAAGCTAGCCGTCAAAAGACATGATATCCACTCCCTCATATCGCCTCACTGCATACAGATAACCACGGACATCAATTCGACTGGGACAACCAGCGCTCAACTATTAGACAGAGGAAACAACAAGAATGCTAGAGAATTTTTAGAAGCCTGCCTGGGATTCCAGTGAATCGTCAATCAATAGACATATCGAGATAGACAAAATTTATCAACCGATAAGAAAGAAACCCCCCACACACAAAGGGTCAAAGTTCAAGTCAAGGAAACAACCAATTCCAATACAAGTAGCTACCTAGAAGGTGTGAGAACACACAAAAAACAACCAATCACGTCCAAGGTGGTCACCGACCAGTTGAGATGATTAATAAACTCGTGGAGAAATCTAAAAGCTCACTTCAATGGATTGAAGTATGCGCTGAAGATGTCATCTAGTAGGGCGATGACGACTTCTTATATACCTCGCTCGCCACATCTGAGTAGGTGAATTATCAGATAATTAAAGAATGGGGTATAATTCGATAGTTTATCTTCAGAGTTGTTGAAGAACATTAGGTGGAATGAGAATACCAATCGTAGTGCAGCAGGAAAGATTGTCCTCTCGATGGTGTTAGATATTCGCCTATTAATATGAATAGTATCGGCTAGAATGTCATTAACATTTCATTAACTTCCAACATATTTTCCTGGATGTCGTCATATTACTCAACCTCTCTCTAGAGCTATGTACTTTCATCCGCTTCTCCTCCTCCTCCTCCAGCTTCTCCACAGTTACACTTTCATTATTCATCACATTTTCTGAAATATTTTCATGACATCAACAATAAGCCGAAGTAATTTTTATTCTTGTTTCACTAGCCTATTATACACTTTACATTAACATAATGAAGTGTTACTAATAGACATTTAAATTAATGTGGTTTATAAAGTGTATAGGATCAGAGTTGACGGATGTCAATTAATTGAGGATAGCAACAATCGAGGTGATTGTAATATTCAGTAATAGTAGTTATAAAAATAATAACAGCGAGGATAAATTGATTCAAGTGTTTATATAATCTAGGCAATTGTGAGTGTGTAGGCGGAATGTGCATACTAGTAGGAGTAGAGGGGAAAATATCTATTGTCACATAGCATTTAGATAATATAATAATCATAATCATAATAATAGCAGTAATAGATCGTGAAACGGAAATTAAAATGTACAACACTGCAGGACAGTATGATTTTGATAATTCAGTTAGCATTACAAGTAAAATAATGAGATATTATTATTTACAGTTATCCGGTGTCACTGGGAGAGATAACTATTGTGAAATAAGAGTAAAG